GGCACTGATAGATGACAGACAAGACAGATAGACAATAATTAACATGAAGTTTACAAATGCACATGTGATGCTAGCTGGTGGATAGGTAATGTCAGATGGTGAAATACACATACAAACACATACATATGAAAGGACTTCTACCAGAAGAATTAGCTTACTCTCTTTTGGAGACTGTGAAGTAACAGGCTGCTTATAAATCAGAAACAATGGAACACCAATAACATAACAGTTCTAATTCAAAGCCTCAGAACTATGGGAGCCAAGGACACAACTCTTAGTCTGAGGCCAAGGCCTGAGAGCTACAGGTGCTGCTGGGTAATTCCTGGAGTCCAAAGGCTGAAAGCTTTGGTTTTCAGTGTCTAAGAGCAAGAGAAGAGTGTGTTCAAGTTTCAAGATACAAAAATGAAATCTTTTCTTTGCCTTTGGTCTACCAAGATCCCAAACTGATTAGATGGTGACTGCCCACCTTGAGGGTGGGTCTCTCCCACTAAGGTCCCATATCTTCTGGAAAACACAAACATACCCAGCAAATGCACTTTACAAGTTATTCAGTCATCCATTAATCCCGCCAACCTCACCATCAACATGATAAGTTAATATACATTGCTGAGGTTTGGAAAAATGTCCCTACACGATTTAATATGTTAAAGACATGCTCACTAGTCCACAGTGCTATTGGAAAGCTCTGGAATCTCTGAGATAGTTCCTATTCCGAGAAAGTTAAGTCACTGTAGCTATCCTTGAAAGAGGTATTGGGACTCTAGCTACTTTCTTTATAGGAATTTCAAATAATCATAGCACAGGCACAGTTACGAGCAAAGGGAAGTGAATGTTTGTGTGTGCTCATCTCTACTTTGGGCTTATACAGTTCAGGACCTCCTACCTAGGAAACAGCCCTGCCAACACTGAGCTGGGTCTTCCAGTATCTTGTTAAGACCCCCTCCCCACAGAGAGAGGCACAGGCCAACTCAGTGCAGACAATCCCTCATTGACACTCTCTTCCCAGGTGATTCTCTGTGTGTCTAGGTCAGGTTGATCATGACACAGACCTAAGGTATTTCAACTTCATGATGTCCTGAAAAGAAATAATTCAACATAAACTCTAGCATTCTAAATTTCGATTTTTGCCTGGGTTAGTGATGTGAACACTGAACACAGGCACTGACCCATGATGCTAGGTGGCAACAGTCACTCCGTCACAAAAGTAAACGATCAGTACAGTAAGATGAGGCACCTGGAGCTTAAGGGTAATATTTTGAATTATCACACCCTATTCCATGTACAAAATGCAACAGTTCCTGTGATGAAATAAGATTATTGTTCAGTTTGAAGAATGCAAGTCAGTAGTAGCCTCCAGTTAGAAACACTACAATCAATGATCCCAACTATCTTGAAGGATAAAAAATGGATCAGGGATGCAGTGACAATGTAAGCATGGGTTAGATCCAATCTTATCAGAAAGAAAAGAGCAGGCCATGTCATGACATGAAAAAAAAAATGTTGTGTGGTTAGATATAAGCATATACTACTGAGCTAACTAATGATCAACAAAGGAGTAAGTCACACATACACACACACACACACACACACACACACACACACACACCACCACCACCACCACCACCACCACCACCACCACCACACACTCAGAGGTCTATAATAAGTCACAGTCAGTTTTTGTATTTCAAAAGATACCACTTTGAGAATGCAGTATCAGCAGCAAGGCAGCAGATGATGAAGTTTGGAAAGAGTGGCCTTAGATAATTGCAGATGAATAATGTACATCAGAATGAGCATTTAGTATTGAAGAGGCAAGCTTGTTCAGAAGGGGTTTGCTGGAGCTGATAGCCAGTCATCAGGAGTCTAAACAGAGCAGGATTGAAGGCACTACACAGCATGCAGTGCTGCTTTGGGATGGAAATGTTACCAAACCTAGATGAAAACCTTTCCTAATCCACCACTCTGAGGACCCTGAGCATTCAGGAATGTGAGCAGGCAAACATTTTCCTGTTTACTGTCACCAAGGGAAGGATGCCTGGATAGCATCAGAATGTTTGCAGGCTGGCTTTTGAATTGTTTCATTCTGAAGGAAAGACAATGCTGTAGACAAAACAATGACCCATTGAGTAATCTTTCAATTTAAATAATGCTCCAAGGTATGCCTAGCAAATGACACCATGCATCCTGATAAAAAGATGTGTGTTTGCCCTGAACAAAATTGCAGGTGGCCAACCAAAGGACCACAGCACAATGGTCATGTTCAAATAGGATTATTCAGCCATGTACCATGGCACCTGCCCCTGACCCCAGTG